ATTTAGTTTGGCAAGATTCTGTCTATAAGGTGTAAGCAAATAAAGGAACTGTACTAGACTGAACTGTTTCATTGTTGTTCTTAGTCTGGGCCTGACATCAACCTTGCCAAACTCATACTCAAAAGAGAAGGGAGGAAATTTGAGCATGGCTATGGGTCCTAAGGGAGCACCGTTAACTCCACAGCATCTAGCAGCAGCCTTACTACAGCACCAGCAGCAGGTGGACACACAGATCAGTGTTTTACAAGCCACAGTGATGCAGTTGGTGCAACAGCTCAGGCAAAATGCCCAACAAGCCACAGCCTGACCACCAGTGCTCATGCATTCTCATGGAAACTTACTAGAAAAAAAATTGGAAGGGGTACCCAGAGGCAGAGCGTTCATGGGAGAATGCAAGGGATGTACACACTCCTGTATTGGTCCACAACTTTCATCAGCATTTCCCTAACAAGCCAAGGCCTCACAAGCTATCCGAATCTCCCCATGCTCAAGAACAAGCAGAGAAGGTCATGAGTGAACAGGAGGAAGGTTTGATAGGGGCCTTGGGGCAAGAAAGTGCTGAGACAGAAATTGCTCAGCCTTCAGCTTCCGGCATCCATCTCCCAAGAGGGAGGGGGGAATCACTTTCCTAACTTGGTAGCTGTTTTGCAGGAGGAGATGCCTGATGTGGAGGAGTCGTCAGGGAACTCAGAGGGAAGCACCACACCACGCTTTCATCTCTACCACTGCTGCCCAGTTCCCCTGAGAACTCGGAGGGGGAGTCTGACTTTGAAGGGGGTGTGTGTGATGTGATGGAATGTATCTATGAGGAGGAGAGTGATGTGGGGGATCAAGGCTATCAGGAAGGAGGGGCTGCATTCCAGGAAAGGAAAGGAGACAAGAGGCAGCACAGTCTGCAAGGGGAGCGTGAGAAGACTAAGAGATTCAGGATAGCCACTCCCTAAAATCTCACAGGGTATATCACTAGAACAGATCCTTTCCCCAAAGAGATTACTATTTCAATCAGCAATGCTAAACAAGCAGAAACCATGATTCAGCAGGGTGCCTGACTGCAGAGGCCTTCTTCTCGGAATGCTGGCTAAGTGCGCTTTCTTGGAATTCCTAAAGGGCACAATTTCACATGCTTTTGAGTAACCAAAACAAAACTTTCTCTATATAAAGGGCTTCCTGGGAAAACTCAGCATGGCTGCCTCCGACAGCTGATGTTGTGCTCTCAGAAATAAACCTCACCTCTGGTTCAAGCAACTGCCTTCATATTTTATTCCCGGCTCAGGAACGATCCTAGTAAGATTTCTTTCTAACAATTATTAGTATAATTAGCACGCTTAGCAGTGTTTGTATCCCAGAGTAATTTCATTCACTTGGAGCAAATCTGGTCCTAACAGCCATAATAGCTGGAACAATCATGAAGCAGCCAAGGAGGGAGAAGGAAAGAGAGAAATTTTAATATGTTGATTGGTCCAATAGCTGCCAAACGACATTATCCTCCATAAAAGTGGATACTTCTTCAAACTCATCTGCTGTTCATTTATTTATTTATTTATTTATTTATTTATTTATTTATTTATTTATTTATTTATGCTGCTGATTTAATTTACTACATTGGCTTTCTGATGATAAATCTGAACAGATTTTTGCAAACAAGAAATTAATCAATTTAAGATCCTCAAGTGAAAACAAGGACCTTACTTTGCATCAAGAACTCCAGTGAAGTTTTCCAAATACAGTTGCATTTCCAGAAGAAGTCCTTTATTGAGGGCCATTTTTTGGCTCTATAGAACAGAGCATTCAGTACTGCAATATCAAAGGATGAGGAAATACATATGTAACCACCACCCCCCTTGCAAAATGCTCACAGCAGCAGTTATCTCTGCAGAAGAGACAGCTTCTGTAGTAAACATGCAGTAGCTTCTCCCACTTTCTTCTTCCTGACTGTTGCTTTTCTTGGCTCGTCAAGCCTCCAGCCTTCCCTCTGCAGTCTTTCCCTCTCCCTCTTGGCCAAACTGTCACACGATACCCCTGAATCCTTTGCCTCCCTTGTTAGCTGCAGGGAGTAGAATCCCATCTGGTCAGGTTTTGCAGGGAGAAAAGCTTCATGTTTTCTCCCCTTTACCTCTTGCTTACACATAATTTTTTCCCTTTGTCTCTTATACCCTTGATCTTCTTAGATTGCTCCTATCTAGGCTAACTTCTTTTCTTTTCTTTTCTTTTCTTTTCTTTTCTTTTCTTTTCTTTTCTTTTCTTTTCTTTTCTTTTTCCCAGCTGTGCCTCCAGGCTAAACTTCCTCTCCTCCACCTCTTCTTCTTTCTACCCCTCTGCATGTGTGCAGCCACAGCACAAAGCTTTTTTATATGTTCCTAACTCTAACTTTCATTTATTGTCTGTTTAGTCTTTCGGACATCCTCCCTCCCTCACTGGAGGACCCGAATACTGATTTCAGGCAACTACTTACTGCTTCCCTTAATCTCTACTTCCATTTACTTTAGTATCTCTGAGGATCCTATTCCCTCTCTTTCTCACTTCTTCCATTTACAGACCTTTGCAACCAGAACCCTAACACCCAACTTCCTGACCTTTTCAGGTAGCCTCCTGACAGTTTGCACCACATTTTAAATCCTTTCTTTATTCCTCAGCTCTGTTGGAACCAAGATGCATATGTATTAAACAAGAACTGTTTTTGCTGGAGCAAAGAGATCAACGTTTATTGTGATACCTCTGCTAGGCACCCACGCTCCTTATCGCAATAGTCATTCAGCTACTTGCTTTTCTCTCTGCATGGTGATTCCTTCATCAAAACAAAATCAGGACAGGAAGGAAGAAGAAGTAAGCAAACCTGACAAGCAAAGGGAACCCTCCCATCTATAATAATATCCAGTTTGTTTTAGCTGTGTCAATTGGTGTTACAGAAGCACTGTTGCCTTAAATTTCTCATTTTGATTGATATGAAATTTTTAAATAGGTTTTGTTCCCTTTGAAAATATTACTCTTGAATGTTCACAATTATTTCTCTCCCGACAGAGGCTTTATCTAAAACGTCCTCTCTAACAGTCCATCAAATCATTCTTACCCCACATACCCATTATTCACTTAGGCCTGAATAATTTCACTCAGTTCCCTTTACCTTTTTATATGTTAAACTTCATCTTCAATTATGAAATCCTCTGGTTGATTTCCCCATGCCTGCAGAACAATTCAAGAGCCTTGTCAGAGGTTAATCTCATGTCAGAACATTAAGAAAGAACAGAAATATTCAAAACCACACGTACCTAAGGACACTTGAGAGGATGGCAAATACTGCTTCGTGCTGGAAGAGCTATTGTGCTGCAGACAGTACAGTGGCAATGAACAAAACATATTTTTAAGGCATTATCTCTTGCCCTGGGTGTCTATAAATAGTTCTGGGTGATGAGGCAATGTGTTGCTCTTGGTAGAACCATGAAAAGTCCCACAAAGAAGAGAAACACAGTGAGCATATGGGGTGAAGGAATGGAGGTTGAGGAATATGTACCTTTGAGATTTTCTGCAGTGAATTCATTCTGAGGTACCATGGATACTGACCCCTATGTTTTGTAACTGGGAAAGGTTTGTAACAGGAAATTGATTTTATTCTTACAGTCATCTTGGAGTCAAAGGTTATAAGTAGGGATATGCACGTGAAAATGTATCACTTCAATCAAATGCAACACATCTGAATAATGAAATGCACATAAACTAACAGGGAGTACTACTGTTCTTGGCAAGAACATTAACTGCTCTTAGAGACATCTACCAATGGCTACCTTTCACAACCTAGCATCCCTCTTATGTATTGGGACTATATCATCTTAGAATTTCCACACAGCCTATGACTGAGAAATCACTTCAACCCACCTGGAGCGCACCAGTTTGGGGAAGACCAATCCACAGGTGTCCACTTATTTCACATTACAATTAATTGATATGCACTTGCTCTGCTTAGAATTGGTTGCACTCAATAATATTTCTATGCTAGGAGAAATCGGGTAATTTTGGCCTGAATTCAAAGTTTGATTAGTGACAATGTTTGAGACTAGGAAGGAACTTCCCACAGGTTAAACCAGCAAATTGGGTTCTTTTCATCTGAAAGGTGACTTTTCATGTGTTCAGTGAAACAGATTCAGTGTGGGAAGTCGGCAGTCAAAACTCTGGATTCCCCCCCTCCCCTGAAGAGCAGCTGTAGGCATATCCACTAGATTTGACAATTGCCCCAGAGATGTGGTTTTCTTCTTAGTGGAGGCTTTATAACAGCTGATGAAAATTAGTTTAGACTGAAATAATATATAGATGAGTTAAACAATTTCGTTACTACATCTGTTTTTACTAGGAGAAAAAGAAAAAAAAAACCTAAAATGATAATGGATCTCCCATATCATATGAACTGTTTTTTACTCAGCCATCTGTTTTCTAACCATGATCATCTGCCATTTGGGTAATTCCAAGAGTCATTTTCAGACATTACGGTTGTGGCTTCTTTGTCTGTTCAGTGAACACATGGAAGGTGTCAGCTTCACTGATTTTGACAAGTTCACTGAATGCCTAAAGAAACATTGATGACTGTAGGAGTCTGCAGGCAAAGCAGCCCTGCACAGAACTATCAGATTGCCTTTCCACATGCTCACTGAATGTTCAGACTATAGCAAAGGCTTCAGTCTTGTATAGTCTGGCTAACAATTCCTTCCCCAGAATATCTGTCTGTCTGTCATCTGTTGCCTTTCCTTCAGGGGCTGAGGGCAGTATACACAGCATTTTTCCCCAGTTTTATTCCCTCAACAAGTTGGTTAAGAGAGAATGAATATCCCAAAGGTATTAAAGTTTCTGTGGTTGAGGATGGACTTGAATGTGATCCTTCCTGGGTGTAGTCCAACAGCTTAACTGCTATACTACATGGAAAGCAATGTCAAATTGCTTCCATATTGTTTGCCAAGAAAGCTACTTGGATTGTCTGTGAAGTTATAGAAGGATGGCATGGACACCATATGAGCCATTCTACAGTCCTTTCAAAAAGTATGTGTTCTGTATACTGATGTCAAGACTAGTAATACCACAAACCATCTATAGATGGGGAAAACGGTTTGAGCAGTATTGTTACTACATTAGTTCAATGCCACCTTCCCTAAATAAATGGTTCTGGATGTGTGGGATAAAATACTTATTAACTCTACTGAGCATAGCCAGGTTGGAGGACACTGCTGTAGAACATGTGTAAAATTAGAAGTGGTATCATGGCTAAACTCTGAGAGACAAAGATAGTAGAAAAGACATTAAAGTTGGGGGTTCTTAACTGTGAATCATGATTTTCCTCGTGCTGAGCCCATGCATCCACTCCAGGCAGTCTGAACTCTATTCTTTTCCTACCTGCAAGATGATGATGCTTTACAACAGGAGGCCAGTGAGTTCATGCTGCCTGGAGCCTATATGACATCCCCAGGAAGAATCACTCTTGGAAGTGGGGGAACGTGACACTAGGCAAGAGAGCCTCAAGAGTTGGTTGGAACTGTTGCAAACCAGCAGTGTAAGCACAAAGGCCATCAAAGGAGAGTTGCAGCTCATAAGCAAGTTCTGACAATAATCCAGCTTTGGGTGCAAGCCTGTGGCCTGACTTTTATTCATGGAACAGCACACAAATTCATTTACTATTTTAGGGGTCATGGAACCACAAATATTGAGAAGCCAGGAGTTAAAGCCTAATGCTACCATTCAGTTCTGAGTTAATTGGCAATTTATGAAGTAGAAGGGGGTGGGCAATCATCTAGCACATACATGAAGATGCTTCCCCCTTAGGTCCTGGGTATTGCCAACTAACAAGAACTCTAATGATAGGCAGAGAAGAGAATGGAAAGAGCTGCCAGTTAGAACTGACACAGCACCAGACAGGTTGATTCTGAACCTCCAAAGCTCTATTAACCTCCATCAGTTCAGTCTTCATTCTTCTGCTCTATCTTGCAAGCATTAAGGGACCTTCCTCCCTAAATATCTTTCTACTAGGAACCTCCTTTGACTCTCTTGAGGTGAGATTTAAATAAGAAAGAAGGGATAGTTATAAAAAGAAATGCCCCAGATCTGCAGCAGAAAATGCTTTGAGTGGATCAATTGCTTGAGGTTCACCCTGTACAGAATCTATTTATAAAAAGCACTTAAAATCATGAAAACATTTATTAGCCTTTATATTGAAAAATAAAAGTGAACTAGAAAATGGTGTGGCTGCTTTCAAAACTCCTTTCAAAGATTTTTTTTAACCTTGATGATGTCTATTAATTATTCTCAACACACATTTCAAACTCAAAGCCTAAAGGATCTAAATTAATTTTCTAGTATTCAGGGATTTTGACATCTTAATTTAGCATCAGTCAGGAAGCCCCTCTTCCCCTCTTCCAATAAGTTTGTTTGTCTTTGCTTTTCACTTATGCCCTGACTTTTTGTCAGTATCTCATTGATTTAGTCAGATGCTTGACATCTTATAGAAATGATGGACAGCAGTAGCAACAACAGTAGAGCATCCAGGGAAAAGAGACAGGCAACATTGGGGAAATGAAACATAATTGTGCCTACTTGACTTTTAGGGCAATTTTCGCATCTGAGATCCTAAGTTTGGAGCATTTTTTTTTAAATGTGAACTAGACTGATTTAGGGTCCCCCAATTGTATGGCCTTTCCACATAGTCAGGACAATGGGGGAACCACACAAATCTCCCAAGCCCCCATCCTCCAATAATTGTATTTCCCTCCTCCAATCCATGGTGACAAGGTGCCTTGACTGAAGGACAGGGAAAGGAACTAGGAAGATGGTATGAGGTAGGAGTTCCCACCTACCCCAAAACTCCAAGAAAACTTTACAAAACATCCTTCAAATTATTTCTTCTGTAGCTAGGCCAAAGTTTATCATTTCAACTTATGATGAGACAGGGGCATGCCAGTGATCCTGGACTGGTGCAGCCCTTACTTATGGAAAATTTCACAACAATCCTAGAATACATTCAATATTCTCAGTAACAAATTGTTTTTGGATGCCTGTGAAAACAGCAGCTGATTTCTACCTAGATGCTTTCTAACAGTTGCTGGAAGAAATGTGAACATTCATTACAGAATGATTGAGGGCTGTGGTTAAGTGTGTCTAAATAATTTAAACTAGAAAAGAGACCATTTACCATGGAAAAAAGAATATTTGGTGGAGTGGCTATAGCAGTTGTAACATATTGTACCTTCGGTATTTGTCAGATTATAGGTAACAATGACTATGTATTGCCCACCATGGTGAAGAAGTGGAAATGATATGGTGTTACCCTGTACTAGTTGTGCCATTGTCCATAAGGCTGTGTGAACTTCTCTACTCTGCCAGAGCACACTATGGGCCTTCCCTATTGCCACGATGGCCCTACGCTATCCTCTGCTGTGTTACCATTCTCCACCTCCATGCAGTTGATTATAAATCCAGTATAGCAGCTAGTTGCAATGTAACATATGCCAGCTCCTATTGTAGGTTGTTTGAAATCACATGGAAGTTTTCATTTGTTGCTTGCTATGTCATAGAGCACATTTTGACCACATTGCTGGTTTGCAAGTGAAGTTCCTTTATGGATGCCTGTGTGCCTATAACTACCTCCCTCAGTGCTTGATAGATTCCCTGACCCATTTTTTAAAATCATGTTTTGAATTAATTTTAAAATGAAGGATTGACACATTGCAAATTTAAGCAGGAGTCTCCAGTGCAACCTTCATTTCCAAGAATGTTTCAGGGTCCCAAAGACAAAATTAGAAAATGCACGGTTTTGATGCATGGCTGCAGCCCGATGATTTGTTCTGAAGAATGTCCTGCCTCTTTTGTGGGGGGGGAGTAAGCTGAAGATGGGGCATGGTATTTTGACCAGCTTGAATGTTTGTGGAATATGAGAAGACCTTTGTCTGTACTCTGTGTGAGTGTGTGTGTGCCAATGTTGCTAGTTTAATCATATGTTAGCTTCTCCTGGTTGCATATATTGAGTGTACAAGAGAGATAAATGGTGCACATGGATGATTTGTAGCTTTTGCTTATGACAGTGTGTGTAGTGTATATGGGTATTATCTCTGAACATCATCAGTTTGCTGTTTAAAATGTGTATTTGGTCATTTTTACATGTTGGTGTATATGTTTGTGTAAAGAGGGAAGATTATATCATTTGATATTTGTGGGGCAATGCATTGCATTCATTTTCTTGGTCAAGTTGTCTCTGAGCCTCAATATTGTGCTGGAGCAGACAATTATGAGTTTTAAAAATTGGTTTGGAGTATGTGAACTCAGAGCCTATCTCTCCTGAGTATATAAGTTTCTTATTG